AATTTTAAATTGATGTGAATAACTAAAATGCAAATTAAAAATTTTCAGATTAACTAAATGATGATAGAATGAGAAATGGCTAAACAAATCCAAAACTAAATAAAATTAAATTTTCTATTTCACACTCTTTTCCCCTTTAGAAGTGATTACATTAATCAGTTTAAAATTAAGTCCTTACTTGTAACGTTATACTGACATCCTACACGGTTTAACCAGAGATACAGTACAAGGAGAAACCATTTTCTTACAAATTCGACTATCTTTCGGTTCTAGTTCAGCTTAACGAAGTTACAGTTCTAAGACCAGTTAATTTGTAACAATTAAATAACAAATCATGTACATACTCTTTACCAATATTAATATCTGTACGTCACTGATATGGGAAACCGATGTCAGTCTCATTATTAAAAATTGATGAGATTAGCTAGAAGGTGAGTTAGCGTTGAAGTGCAAATAAAAATCCAGAGTTTAACTAAACGATAGAATGAATAATAAATGAACGGTAAAGAAATCCATAAAAAATAACAAAAGAATATGCTATCTCACACTACTTCTGCTTTAGACAACGAATATGATATTAAATCGTTCCTTACAAATTACAAATTTTAGTATTCTTACTTTTAAGGTCATCGTTATACTGACATTATGAATCCCCCCCCCCACAGTTAAGTACAGATACCAGGACAAATTGTCTATGTTTTTAACTCTTCAGGTTGATCTTATCAAGTTTCCTGCTCTGGTTCACCTTTCAGGGAGTGCTCGAGTTTTAAGACCATCTAGGTTGAGCAGAAGACTCGTTAATTCGAAGGATGAGATGTGGACACGTCGAAATAAGTTGTTAATGTAGAGGGGGGAGGCGCTCTTCAAGCCGTTTTTCGCCACTTATTACTGCAACGATATAGAACGATTAGCATTTTCTGGTATAGAAATAATTCTGTCGAGAAAATATTTTTCAATTTAAAGTAAAATTGTTTTACCATTGAATTGATTTTTTTTAATATAAAAAAAAATTGAGTAACATAAACAAGTTTAGACAGTCGATTCTATACGAGAATATATTTGAGAATAAGGAAACTTTAATAAAGAAGATAAATATATTATTAATAACAGCATTAGTAAATAAAATAATTTTCATTGTGTCCGAAAGACACTAACGGTTGTAAGGTTCTCGCTGTATCTTTCGGTGCATTTAAACTTTGGATAATGTCTGTTTAATATCTGTAAATAGTTCTGTTCGTTCTTCTACGGTTGTAGGTGATATTGGGTATTTTGTTAGTTGTTTCAAAGAAGTCCTTTTTTAACCCCTTAAAACTTATTATATAGTTTAGATGTAGTTTATGGGTATTCCCATTGCCAGAACTTTGTACTACCATGAAAGGATAATATACTATAAATATCAGGATTAATATTTCTATAAATAAAAGGAATTATAAAATACAATATTTACAAGACTACAGTGTATAACGTTTTAAATAACCAATAAAACTTACTATCTCTCGTGATAGTATAAATATTTCCAATAAGTTGTAACATTATTTACATACTCTTTTGCAACATTAAAATCTGAAAGTTACTGATACAGGAAATTGGTGTCAGTCTCATAACTTTTAGAAGCTTTAAATGACGTAGTTAAGTAGAATG